CTTATATAAAATGGCATAGTATTTGTATATAACCTACACACATCCTCTTGCATACTTTGAATCATCTCTAGGTTACTTAGACTACCTAATACAATGTAGATGCTACGTCAGTAGTTACCAGCATAGGGCAAATTCAAATTTTGCTTTTTGGACCTTTCTGGAATTCTTTTCCAAATGTTTTTAATCCGAGGTTGGTTGAATCCATGGATGCAGAACCTGCGGATACGGAGGGCCAACTGTATACGTTTCAGCAACTCTTAGGAGAGCACTTAGCTAAGGCACCTCGAGAAGTTTGTCAGTCTCTTTTGAAAGCAGTATTTTTTATATCCTAAGAGTCTCAATATATACAATTCAAAAGCTGTTAAAGGAGACCGACATTATGGAAATAGATGTGATGTGTTTCATTTTCCGTGCACACGTGGCTGTGTAAGTGGATGTGTGTACGTGGGCACTCTTAGTTCAATGCCGTCAAAACGGCAGCCCCGAAGTTAGTAACAACCCCTTCCTGAATCTGAGGCAGAAAAAATGGAAAAGCGTGCCCTCAACTGCCACCAGGAAGCAGTCAATTTTCTAGAGCAGTTATGATATTTATAACCAGGTCAGTGAAGTTTCTGAAATGTGAGTGTAGCCAATACAGGTGCACCAGCTTTGGTGTACAAGAAATGTAGCACTTCTTTTTTTTTTTTAGTTTACGTAATATAAATAATATCAACTCCCTTCTACAAGGCTGGAGGGAAATTCAGACTTAATTATCACTGGGCACCCCCTTCTCCCCTCCAGGATGCACAGAGGACCTGAAATGCTGTGAACTTGGGGAGCACCGTCGCTCATCGTTCATTGGTGTGCTCTGGCTCCATCCACAGGGTCCTGCTTCTGTCCCTCCGCCCACTCTGGGTCTCTTCTGTGAGCTGGGGCCTGGGATGGAGACATCCCCAGAGGCAATGGGAAGAAAGTGGCCAGGCCACTGCGGAAAGGCTGACGACTTAGTCCAGGCCAGTCGCCACATGTGGCTATTTAAATTTTAACTAAAATTACCCAAAATTAACAATTCAGTTTCTCAGTCACCTGGTCACACTGCAAGGGCTCCGTTGCCACATGGGGCTCGTGGATGCCCTGCAGGACAGCTCAGATGGAGGAGATTCCCTCGCTGTGGGAGTTGCTGTTGGGCTATAATAAGCAGCGTGTGTTTTCTCAGTAGCCGGTGAGGGTGGATGCACTATTCTCCTGGCTTATCTTCTTTCTCGGCCTGCCGTACTTATTTAGAAAGTAGAAAGATACAAGCGAAGCGCCAGTGGGAAGGGTGGCTGCAAGAAGCAGAAGGGCACAGTAATTCTCGAAAGATGAGTGCCCGCAGTCACGGGTAGTGGAGTTTTGCCCGTCAACGCTTTCTCTTCCGTGTGGTCCAAAGTGTCCAGGAGGTGCTTGGACAGTCTAAGAATCCCTGTTCCTTTAAATGGGACTTGGGGTCTATCTCACAGAGAGGGGTCTTGCATTTCATGTGTGCACAAGAAGTATAACTTTTGTTATGGCTCCATTTCCCACGGGGGAGGAGTGAAAAAGAAGAGTGTGGAGTGAAGGTGGCTGGTTTGGTTCTGCGAACTGGGATGTGTGCATCCAGTATCGAGGCGCCAGCTGGCAAAGGCAAAGGCAAAGCTGCCCCAGGGAAGCAGTGAGCCTGGGAGCAAACTGAGACAGATGCAAAGGGGCACGATGGAAAACCACCCACCTTCTGTGCTGTCTTTATGGACCAGCAAAGACTCAGACTAGCTCCGTTCAGTAAGCACTTCTTTAAACATCTTCACACATCAGACACCAAGTAGACAGGATACAGACATGGATTGAGACTCTGTACCTGCCTGTAGCCAGCTCTCCATCCAGGAGCGCTCTTGTTTTTTAATCTGTATTTTGTATTGGAGCATATTTGTCTAGCAATATTGTATTAGTTTCAGGTGTACAGCAGGGTGATTCAGTTATACATATACATGTATCTATTCTTTTTCAACAGGAGCACTCTTAATAGGGGCCTATTTTAATACTCCTTATTTATTTTGGTCTTCTCATCCCATAAAGATGTTCCCTGCTTTTGTATTAGTTTCAGTCCTAAATAACATTCTCCATCTGGGTGAAGTGGAAACAAGGAGACAGTTCTTTGGGAGCTGGGAATTTGAGGCACGTGCCTGATGGGTTAGGCTTGGAAAAGCAGTAAGTCCGCAGAAGCACGCCGTGGGTCCTTTAACCAAAGGCCAGGCTCTGCTTCTTTGTACCAGCTCAGCCCCTGGTCTTCCGCCGTTGGGCCTCTCCATCCTTTCCCACCACTGCTATTTTTGCCTCCATGTCTTGTCGGGTTCTTGCTCTGAAGGCATTTCCCTTTTTAGCTGCCCTGGTGCAGTCATCATCTCCATCCTTAATTGCTTGAGGAAGTCTTTTGAGAGCTGCCCCGATGGCTCATGTAGGAGGTGAGGCAGCTGGGCACGTGGTCTCTGGGTACCTGAGGTCCTGAGGTTCTGGTGGCCTTGCTGAGCCCTGCTCTGCTCCAGCCCACCTGGTCCTTCCAGTTTTGGATTTGAGGCCAATAACTGGAAAACTGGTCTCTCTGTTGGCATGGCATGTTCATAAAGTGATATGACTCACATCAGCCTGGACCTCAGAGCCCTCGGTGGGTGTGGCCCCAGCAGAGGAGGCCCCTGCGGGAGAACTCAGACACATCCCGAGAGCGCTTCTGTTGCTCAGAACATCTTAGGGGCTCTCGAGGGGGTGATTTGCACCTTCTAACGAAGTATTTGCAATTCTGTGGGTTACTGTCCTGTTCGGTACTGTCCTTAAGGGGTGAGTTTGACGTTTGGAATACCTGAAGTCATTTACAGTGAAATCTGGTCAGTTGAGGTGGGGAGACACTGATTCAACTAGTAAGTGTTCAAGGTTTTAAAAAATATTATAGGGCTTCCCTGGTGGCGCAGTGGTTGAGAGTCCGCCTGCCGATGCAGGGGACACGGGTTCGTGCCCCGGTCCGGGAAGATCCCACATGCTGTGGAGCAGCTGGGCCCGTGAGCCATGGCCACTGAGCCTGCGCGTCCGGAGCCTGTGCTCCGCAACGGGAGAGGCCACAGCAGTGAGAGGCCTGCGTACCGCACAAAAGATAAATAAATAAATAAAATAAAAATATTATATATACACACCCAAACACACATACATACACACGCACTGTATAGATACATGTAAAGTTTGAAGACTGGAATGGGTTGGTTGTTTTTTGTTGTTGTTGTTGTTTTCTCCATGACGTTAGTGTTCATTCCAAAAGGGGTTCCAGAGAAATCCTAAGCTTGACACGACCTTGGCCTCCCAAGGAGACTACCTTAGAAAATATTGTGCTTACTAGATGCAGGTCTTGGGTGTTTCTTACGGAAACTAATCAGATAGGATTAGGGAGTCAGTTCACGCATGGGACGCCCATAGACAAGGATGGCTGCTCAACAAAGTGAGAGAATACTTTTTTTTTTCCTCCTTAGGAGCGGCCTCTCGTCTCTTCCCCACCTCTCACCCGGCTCCCTTTCTCTCTTTCCACGATTCCTTCACCTTTGGCCTGGAGAGTCTTGCCTTTACATTTTGTTTATTCTTGCTTAGGTTGTAGGAGACACCCCTGAATGGGGTGCCTCCCTCCAGCCCACACGGCAAGATACTGCCAGCCTGGGGCGGGTTTGACTGATAAGCACCGTGTGGTAGAGCCAAGCTGGAAGAGAGAGCTTCCAAACGTAGCTGCAATTTGGAATCACCTGGGGAGCGTTTAAAACTCCTGCCACCGACGTCCAACTGAATCAGAATGAATGTCTGGGGATGGGAGCCAGACACAGTACAGGCATACCTTGTTTTGTTGTGCTTCACAGATACGGCGTTTTTGTGGGGTTTTTTTCACAAATTGAAGGTTTGTGGCAACCTTGCATTGTCAGATGATGGTGAGCATTTTTTAGCAATATTTTTTAATTAAGGTATGTACATTGTTTTTTTAGACATAATGCTATTTCACACTTAATGGACTACAGCATACTGTAAACATAACTTTTATAAGCACTGGGAGACCAAAAAATTCATGTGACTCGCTTTATCGCAATATTTGCATTATAGGGGTGATCTGGAACTGAACCCGCAGTATCTCTGAGCCTGTAGTTTGTCAAAGTTCCCAGGTGATTCTAGCATGCAGCGAAAGTCTGAGAACTGCCGTAAGCGGGGGGATTGTCCATGAAAATGTGAGCAGTTACCCCTGAGCAGAGGCACAGCCAGCCCGAGGCCACGTGCTGCACAAGATACAGTGTTAGATGCAAAACCGGTCTCTACAGCCCACTGTTAGGGTGACCTCGGTGAGCTGTCTGCCTGCTCTGGGTTCTTTTTTCTTATCTGTAAAATAGGATAATCATTGCAATGCCTGTCTGATAGGATGATTTTAAAGAATGAAATGGAGGATGTGTGAAAGTCTTTGTAAATTGTGAAGTGCTCTATAAATGCTTGCTGTTAACACCGGAGATTATTCTTTTATAGAAAGATAATCATTGTCTAAGTGGCCTGGCAAGGAAGCTGGGGTGACTATTGTGGCCTTAATTCCTTCGTTACTAGTAGTAAAGCTGAGAACTGTTTAGGGTAAGAATTTCTTTCTCCCATCTAATAAGGGGGTTGCAGGGAGACCTGGTCTCCCCCTGGCTTCCGGTTAGCTGACCAGCTAAGAGCCAATGGCCTTGCCAAGCGGGAAGGGACATCGGTAATCCATTGGCTTCTGAGCCTGACTCTCATCTTCAGGCTCTCTGTTCAATCGGATTTCGTTTATTTCAAAGTGGGTAGAACTACCTACCCACAGAGTGTCGCTGAGAAGGAGGGACAAAGAGGGGGTCTCATCCGGCAGGGCTCTCTGTCATTTTTGCAAGTGTGACTGTAGTGTCCCGTCAGGAGACATCTCCGTGGCTCCTTTGGGTGCAAACAGAACCATTTTTATCCTTGGCTTGTCCCCCCCCCAGGGATTTGAAATTGGATGGAGGGAGACAGTCAGCAGGAGCGGTGAGCCTGAAAGAGATCATTGGCCTGGAAGGCGTGGAGCTGGGCGCTGACGGGAAGGTAAGGCTGCCTGCCTTCCAGGCCACCAGCTTGTTTGACAGACACCACAAGGGTCAGGAAGCAGAGGCTGTGTGATGGACCACGAGCTGCGCTCGTGCTGGTTAACCCGATGTGAGACACGTTTCTGGGTGTGTGACGCCAGCCTGTCCCCGATCCCGGGTGTGCACATGGGTTAAATAGCAACACAGCTATTTCGCCGCTAATGCTGGTCCTGACCAGTTCAGTCACCCACTCTTATCCTCAGGGGATATGTTCCAAGACCCCCCGTGGATGCCTAAAACCTTGGGTGGTACAGAACCCTATGTATACCATATTTTCCCCTATACGTGCATACCAATAAGAAAGTTTAATTTATAAATTAGGCACAGTAAGAGAATATCCGAATTGCCAGCATCACTACTTTTGTGCTTTGGGGCCACTATTAAGTGAAATAAGGGTCACTTGAACACAAGCCCTGTGATACCATGATAGTCAATCTGATAACCGAGATGGCTACTCAGTGACTAAGGGATGGGATCAGCTGGACAGAGGGATGATTCACATCCCGGGCAGGACGGTGCTAGATTTCATTATACTACTCTGAATGGCGCACAATGTAAAGCTCATGAATTGTCTATTTCTGGAATTTTCCATTTAATATTTTTGGACCATGAGTAATTGAAATTGTGGGTAAGGGGAGACTACTTTATCACACACACACACACACACACACACATGCGTGAGTGCACACAGGTGCATGTTCCAGGATGGAGTGGCGGGTGGTTTGAACATGCATTGACGGTGGTGACGGCAGGCAGCAATCCCACTACGAGACAGTGTTTTTTGCTACCCATGGTCCTGAGAGGCTAAGAGTCCCTCGGCCTGAGAGAGTGACCATCGAGCAGGGGGCTGTCACATCCCACTTTCATCCACAATTCACTGAGCTGCTAGGTTGAAGTCTAAGGAGGGAAGGTTGAAATATGAACTTGACCTTTTTGTGCCGGATGCAGGCAGTCTTTGTAAACACTCCCAAAGCCTGTTTATGGAGATGACGCAAGTGTGTCTTTGGGGAAGTCGTCCAGTGTAGCTTGCTTGTAGGTAAAGCTGCTGGGGCAGCAAACGACCTACCCGCCACCCCTCCGGCAGAACAGCTGGTCACCCCAGCGCCCAGATGACATTGGCCTTGAGCTCACGTGTCGGGGTGTATGAGCCATGTTTCTCCAAGTGGGTGAAAAGAAAAATACGTGTTGCCTCTTCATTCCTGAAGGTTGAGTGTTCACAGAGGAAGGAGGGAGGATGAAGTGAGATGAGCATCATAGACACAGCATCTGCCAGAGGAACATGGGAGGGCATAGCCCCTTATCCGAGACTCTTGGGACCCGATATTCTAGAATTCTGCACTTGGTGGATTAGAAAAAGTACCACGATGTATGCCTCTTGTGTTAGACAACGTCCTAGCAGCTTCCGCGATAGTACCTTGTTATCAGACACACTAATATCTCTGCCCCATAACATGAATATTCACGCCAAGTGGGATAAATTAAAGCTACAGATGGCCTCTAGTCAGTCCAGTTTAGGTTTTGGCACAAACGAGTGCCAAAACAAATTTCATTTTTCAGACCTTGGATTTTAGAATTGCAGCAATGAGAATATGGATGTGAACTTGGCGTGGCAACGCAGCTTGGTCAGAACGCAAACACTGCCCGGGGTTAATCACTGGCCCGTTTTTGTCTTCACCTTTTAGACTGTTTCTTATACCCAGTTTCTGTTACCCACGAACGCCTTTGGAGCGCGGAGAAACACCTTAGACTCCACGTCCGCCTTCTCCCAGTTCCGTACACTGAGCCACCGCAGCCTCTCCATCGGCCGGGCGAGCAGCACCCAGGGGAGCCTCGACGCAGGTAAGCTGGGGCCTGGCTGGCCTGGGTAGCTTGCAGCAGGAGGTGCCTTGGTGGACAGTGTGGCTTGGGTCTCCCTGTGCACATTGGAAGACAGGTGCCCTGGAGCGTGAGCTCATCCTGCAGGTGACAGGACTTTTGGGCAAGCCGATTTCGGGCCAGGCAGGCTCACAACCCTGCCGAGGGGCGAGCTCTTTAACGAGAGGCCTCAGTCGCCAGCCCCTGAGCTCCCACGAGGAGACATGCCCAGGCCGCCTTGCAGAGATGGCTAGACTCCCCGGCTTCTCTCCACCACTCTGCTGCTCATCTCTCCAAGTACCTGGTTCTTGCCTACATTCTCCTAGTCCTCAGGTTTCGCCTTTCTTCAAGTAACTGGGCCATAAACGTACCATCAGGCGTGAGAACTTCCTCTGTGATTCTCACAGCGGGTGAGCTTACTCGGCTGCTGGCGGAAGACTTGGATGCTTCCAGCTTGGCCTGTACAAGCCTTTGTGAGAATCCGCACAGGCAGAAAAATGCTTTATGAGGCGGGATTATTTCCACTGTCAGAGAAATTCCAGGTGAACACGGAGCTCCTTAGGCCTGTCCAGGTGCTGAGTTCAGAAGCACTGTACTGACGTGCCACCCCAGGTCACTGACGGCTGTTTGCACTGGTGGCTGCTCTGGTTTGCGTTCATTCAGACCACATAGCCTGTCTGGAACCATTCACACCAAACGTGCTTCTCACGTGCAGTAACGCAGGTTTAGAAAATGAGCCTTTTCCGTGCCGCGTTTTATAATCTGTGAGTGTTCACGGCATCTTTCATGCTCGTGAGGCTCTGTGCTCTCCCGGGTCAGGGAGATTAATACATAATTGTTTTTAATGGAAAAAATGGCAGAGAGTGTGAAGCGTTTGGTGAACCCGCTGCCGGGGCGTACACTTCACTGGCGTGCAGGGACGCCTACTGACGGTCAGAGCGAGCAATGTGACTCTGAGCTCAGTGACCTGAAGCCACCCTTTCTTCAGTGTAACTTTGTACCACGCGTTCACCCGGCTACTTCTGCTTCAGGACGTCCCGGGCCCTAGTCATCATTTTGCGTGTGATCCTCAGGTAGCGACCTGGGAGAGTTTATGGACTATGACCCGAATCTCCTGGACGACCCCCAGTGGCCTTGCGGCAAGCACAAACGAGTTCTGATCTTTCCTTCGTACATGGTGAGTGGCGGTGGCGGGGTGGCAGGGGAGCTGACCCCCTCAGCCTCCTCGGAGAACTTGGAGGTGCCGTGCTCATCCTAATGGCCAGTGGCTCTTCCTGGGGTTGGGGGCTTGTTCAGACGCTGCTCTGCCTGGTTCTTCTCGAGGACCTCCCCCACCCCCCGCCGCGTGTGGGTCACTCACGGAAGGACCAGCATCACATCCAGGGTTCTTCCGGCCACCTGGCCCAGGTACAGCACTTCAGAGGGCTTGAGAAGGCTGGATTGCCGGCAGCTGTGAAAGCTGCCAGCTCAGGCTGCAGCTTCACCTCTGAGGGTATATGTGTCCATGGACCCCACTAGGTAGGGCATCACCAATCATGCCCATCGCCAGCAGCGCTGAGTTCAAGTTCAGCTGTTTGGAGTTCCTCGGTGACCGTAGGCCTCTGCACACACTCTGAGCAAACATTTGGCCCTGGGTTCTGGATGACAGAATCATCTCCTGGGAAAGTGAAAGTAGGACAGTGTGGGTGTTAAATGCAAAACCTTTCCTTGCTGTTTTTATTTCACGGGCTCTTCCTCTTTTTCCCTTTGTGTAATTTGGTTTCTGCTTTTGGCAGACCACCGTTTCCCACCGCTCTGGCCGCTGTTTCTCCAGACACCAGTGGGGTCTGACAGGGTCCTGTGTACTTTCACTGGGCAGACTTGTCCTGACTTGGATGTGGGCAGAGCCTGGGCTGCTATGGGGTTGAGGGAGCCGGGCTTTTAGAGAAACCCACCGCGCCAGGCCTGCCACGCACACCATCAGGTAGAGGGCACTGACCCAGGATGTCCCCACCGCCCGCCTGCCAGGCCCGGAGGGGCGAGCGCGGCTGAAAACGTCCTACTCTGGTTCCCTTGCTCCTCCCCTGCCGGCTGATGTCAGAAGCCCAGGCTCCAGGAGTGAGCAGGGGGTCCTTTTTCTGTTCTAGGCTCCTGCAAAGACCAGAGTGGGACCCCACCCCATGCACTAACTCTAAGATTAGCACTCTCAGCGGTGAGACGCCCCCCCCCCGCCCCAACTCCCCAGCTTCTCTTCTCACGGAGCATCTGGCAAGTAGCTGACATCAGAGAAACATCAGGCAGAACTCAGGCCCTCACTGCTCACTTTCAATGTATATCCTCTTGTAATTGGGCAGATAGCTCAGAGATCATTCTAAAATGCCACACTGAGGGACTTCCCTGGTGGTCCAGTGGTTCAGAATCCGCCTTCCAATGCAGGGGACGCGGGTTCGATCCCTGGTCTGGGAACGAAGATCCCACATGCCGCGGGGCACCTGAGCCTGCGCTCCAGCAACTAATGAGCCCGTGTACCGCAACTACAGAGCCCATGCGCTCTGGAGCCCGTGCACCACAATTAGAGAGAAGCCTGCGCGCCGGAATGAAAGATCCTGCGTGCCACAACTAAGACCCGACGCGGCCAAAATTAAAATAAATAAATAAATATTTTAGGGGCTTCCCTGGTGGCACAGTGGTTAAGAGTCCGCCTGGCAATGCATGGGACATGGGTTCGAGCCCTGGTCCGGGAAGATCCCACATGCGGCGGGGCAACTAAGCCCGTGCACCACAACTACTGAGCCTGCGTTCTAGAGCCCGCGAGCCACAACTACTGAAGCCCATGTGCCTAGAGTCCATGCTCCGCAACAAGAGAAGCCACTGCAATGAGAAGCCCGCGCACCGCAACGAAGAGTAGACCCCGCTCGCCGCAACTAGAGAAAGCCCGCACGCAGCAACGGAGACCCAATGCAGCCAAAAATAAATAAATAAATAAATTAAATATCATTTAAAAATAATAATAAATAAGTAAATAAATATTTTAAAACATAAAATAAAATGCCACATTGAATCAGAATGAATTGCCAAAGGCATTTTGTTTAAAATTGCCCTGTCTCCTCTCTCTCCTGTCCTTATTCTCCAACTCCTAACACAGAAAGCAAAACCAGAGCCTTATAGAGTTATTTTTTTTCTACCTGTGACCTGTTAGATTATTTACTTCTTTCTAAAAACGAGGGCTTATCCGTATCAGCTGGCCCATAATAAGTGTCCGATAAATGACCAGAATCCTTACCCTGATGTCATGGAGGGAGCAGCTGAAAGTTCGTGACTTGTGTAACAGTAAGGGTTCTTCATGTTGTTCACTGCTTTATTTACTAAAGTTCACTTTATTAAGTAACTTGGGCAGGAAACTGTGGCTCGGGGAGTCTGAGTGAGGCTGTCAGAGTTGACAGACAGGAAGTGAGGGGCTGAGGCTAGAACCCTGGGCTTAACACTCTTCCTACTGTGCCTCTGAATCCACGTCCCTCAGCAGCCAGTGGCAGAACCCCCCTCAGGGTAAAACATGGAGATGATTCTCTGGGCCAACAGTTTAACAGATTTCTAGGTAACTAAGAGAATAAGAAGGTGCACTGTTTTTGATTGGCGTTGGGGTTTGGAGGGGAGCTCTTCTGTAGTCATGTTACGTCTGGTGATAACACTGACCTCTCCTTTTATAGGCCTGGTGTCTGGCTGGTGTGGCTCTGATTTTTTTTTTTTTTTCTTTAAATGATTTAATTGTGAGCTTCGAGGTTCTGGGCTGTAGTCTACATGTGCACACCTGTGCAGACGGATCATTCCCCCGCTCCACCAGACAGTGCGCTAGATGACCTGCCAGGTCAGTGTGTGTGTCCTACCCTCCTCGTTTTATGGTCCCAAGTGGGTCGTTTTTCAGTTCACTACATTGAATCTGTAGCCTGTGCTTCTTGTAACCGTCCATTTTTTAGAGAATGAAATTGCTCATGAACTGCATTTGCCTGGTCAGCTTCATAAGACCTACATCTCCTTCTGCTCTGGCCACAGATATTGGTACTTTGATAAAACGTGGGCTGTCCACTTTTCAGCACTGACATGCATGTCATGGTTACAAACTGCCTCAGACTGGCTTCCAGGAGACTTCCTCTCTAGAAGCAGACGTGGCTTCCGGGGCTGTTTCACATGCATTTTGGCACTGAACTTGCAAGAGCAAGAGTAGGGGGTTTGGCTTTGGTTTGCTTGCTTTATTTTGTGTGTTGGGTACTAGGTATAGAATTTGTCCATCTAACCAGTATTGACTGAGGCCCTACTATGTGCCAGGCGAGGTGCTTCCTTATACAGTGGAGGACAAACCAGCCACCGACCCTATTCTCCTCGACCTTAGAGTGAGTGGAGAAGTCAGACAGCAAACAGGACACAAGTCACTGTAGTGAGGAGGGTAAGGAAGGAATCATCTTAGAAAAGTGGTGAAGAATGACAGGGAGGGTTAGGGGTTGGAGGTGGGCCTCAAGGAAGGCTCCCCTGAGGACATGCAAAAGTGAACGCTGAGGGGAGAGAGGCCTGCCAGGCCTTGGGGGAATGGCCCCATGTGCAAGAGCCTGAAGTGTGCAAGAGGTTGATCTTGTGTAAAATGGATATTTTTAACAGTAACAGTCACTGCCCTTTATACACACACACGCGCGCACGCGCACGCACACACACACACACACACACAGAAGTCAATAGAATGACGATCCTGACAAATTCTCTGTGCTAACTTGACCCCGTGCTCAGGGAGCTGCACTTGTCAGTAGGCGCCGGCTACTCAGGTGGACAGAGGGAGCTACAGGGTTATCTAATCCAGGTTGTTAAAGGCCCTCTTTGAGGGTCTGGGGCACATCTTGGCCTGTAGGTGGGTAGGAAGAGCTGACACAGTGACACAGCTTGGAGTGTTCCTGCTGTGGGGTGAACCCTCATGGTTGGCAGGGCTCCCCCTGCAGGCGGACTCAGCCCTGTGAGAAGCCTGTGCAGCCCCGCTCCTTCCTCCCCCTCCCCGGCTCCCTGCTGTGGAAGTTGGGGAAGGGAACCAGCAAGTCCCTCACAGGCTGACTGACTGAGCAGCGCCACACACCTCCCTAAATATCAACCTCCAAGGCCTCTGGGGTCCTGCTGCCATATGCCTGTCCCCGCGAGGCCCCCAGGGCAGTTTAAGTTTGGCCAGCCAAGCAGAGGACCAGATCTGAGAATGAGGGGCTGTTGTCCTGGGTTTTGGGGTATCCTATACCTGTGGAATTTCAGGGTCTGAGGTGTTGGTGTGGCCTCTACAGAATCAAGCAAGCTTTACAGTGATGAGCTATAGCCCTTCTACCCCATCAAATCCTGCAGCAGCCTTTTTTTTTTTTAAGATTTTTTTGATGTGGACCAATTTTTTTTTTAAGTCTTTATTGAATTTGTTACAATATTGCTTCTGCTTTATATTTTGGTTTTATGGCCGGGAGGCATGTGAGATCTTAGCTTCCCAACCAGGGATCGAACCCACACCCCCTGCATTGGAAGGCGAAGTCTTAACCACTGGACCACCAGGCAAGTCCTGCCATTTTTTTCTCTTTTCATATTAAGGTATAACATAGCTAATCAAACGTACCAATTTTAAGTGTATAGTTCCATGAATTTTGTATCCTCCACTTGGACCAAAATGTAGGACACTTCTATCCCCTTAGAAAGCTCCCTCCTTTCAATCGTGTTCTGCTTCATACCCCCTCCCAGCAAAGGCAACTACTGTTCTGACTTTTGTCACCAAAGATTGGTTTTGCCTCTACTGGAACTTCATATGAACGGAATTGTGTACTGTGTTTTTTTTAATCCATCTTCATTCACACAACTTAATATCTGTAAGATTCACTCATGTTGCATGTGTCAGTAGTTTTTTGGGTTTTTTTTAATTGCTGAGTGGGATTCCATTGTATGGATATACCATCATTTATTTACCCGTTCTCCTATTGATGGACATTTGCGTTGTTTCCAACTTAGGGATATTATGAATATTGCTGCTATGAACATTCACATACAAGTCTTTTTGTGGATATACATTTTCATTTCTCTTGGATAAATACCTAGGAGCGGGCTTTCTGAGTCAGTGGAGGTGATGTTTACCAGCCAGGATGTAGTTGAAGGTATATTTTCGTTCATGTTTGTTCTCAGTAGAAGATAAAAAGG